CTGCTCCCTAAGTGGAGGCTTATTTAAAAAAAAAAATCAGGCTCAATACCTATTAACTATCATAGTGAGGTATGAAAGACCCTTTACAGTTCTTGGCTAAGATGCTAAGCATTGTACTACATAGAGCAAAACCACAGAATTTATTAACCCAGAACTCTGGAGCAACCATCAGCTCTACATAAGTAATTAGTCTCATCCTATGGCTGCTTCTCCTGCCATCTCTCAGTGCAGCCTCATTAAGCCTAATATTTCCCTCATGCTCATCTTTATCACATTGTTCTGATAATAGTTTCATCATTCTTGGAGCTACTCAGAAAAGCATTACACATCTAAGACCCAGAGTACAATCATTACAACAGAGATTCAAGTGCTGCTCATATATAATTCAAATGTATTGGGTTTGAATTAGCTGATTATTCATAAAATCTGGTCTCTTTAGCACAAAGGGATGAGCCATGCTCAGAAATGTAATCTGCACTACTGTTAAACATCAGAAAAATCTTTAAAACATGTCATTTTAGAGTACAATGTGAATTCAGTTTTTCAAACGTATATCCTGCTGCTTAAAGGGACATAGTGAGGATACAAATCCTGGGGTAAATTAATTCACATTAAATGAACAAGATAGGTGATGGTACCTGATGGTAAAAGAAATTTTAAACATTTAATTAACCTCCACCATTTATGGTCACTTGGTGAAATCACTTCTCTTTGAACAAAGCAAGAGTAAGGCGGCTTCACATAGGAAACTCACTGCAGGGGATAAAATCCATTATCCACCTCCCTCTACTGCGGGGAGGGTTTCTCTGAAACTAGAGCTTCTACTCAGCTGTTCCTGGCCACTAGGATCCAAGCAGTTGAAGATCCAGTGCTCCCTCATTGAAGCCTGACCCTAGCTTTCCTTCAAGATTCGCCTAGTCAGCGCATTGCATGAAGACTCCTCTCCAAGGCTCTAGGAGGTACAGAGGTCCCCCTGTACAACTGCTCTGCTTGTGCTCCATCTGCTCTCTCATGTACACACTGCATGCATACAACCCCATGGGGGGGGGGGGGCTTAAGTGGTGTGGAGGGGATTTCATGGACCTTCTGCAACTATGTGAATTTCACTTATGTTTATTATGGGCCTGATCCTGCATGAAGCTGAGCAACTCTGGGAACAGCTGTGTTCTTCCAGCTCCCACAGACTTCAATAGAATTTGAACAATTCCAGAAGCTGTTCAGCTGCTTACATGATGAAGCCTTATTTACATTTCACTTAGCTTGGATAGTCACATTAGACTAGCCAGTTTCACTCTCATTATACTAGCAGAGTGTTACAATGTTGGGGTTAAAAGTTATATTCGGGATTGTCTTTTAATTCAGAGAAATATTTTCTGCTGCTATTAGTTCATATACTTTTTTAAAAAACAAAAGTCTCAACTATCTGACAGCGTTCTTTTAAAATGAATCTCTCAGGTAAGTGCAAACTACCAGAAGCTCCTAAGAAAACGGTGAATACAGCTTTGCAAAAATTACCAAATTCATTAATGTTGTATGTACTAAACTGAAGGTTTTAAGTTAGACTACAGCGCCTAATTAGCACAAATTCTGTGGCTATTTATTACTATATGCAATTACTACAATTGAAATGATCTATGTCTGCTAAAATATATCAACATATTTCTGCTTGGGAATTTTCTTTTTAAAAAGTCTTTCCTGAAAACAAAAAAGCAAGGCTTTGGGGATCAAAAAATTTTGTGTTAATTTAGTGGCAGTGCTAAGATAATAAACCGGGTCAGCACATATTGATCATGATATAACTAAACTACACACAGCAAATGTTTTCTCACTGAGTCATCTATCCAGCAAAAACAATTCCAATGATTATGGAACATTTCTTCATCACACATTGTCCCATAGGACATATCAGGCATTTTTAAATAACACATTCCTGTAATTATTATTTTTATTGCAATAATGCTCAAAGGTCCCAACAGCACCCAAACAAGCACCTAGGAAAACGTGGGGTGAAATGCTGGCCCCACTAAAGTCATTGTCAAAGTTCCTGTCAACTTCAATGGAGCTAGAATTTCACCCATTGAGCCAAGAGATTAAAAAATGGTCTGAAAATCAGCACAGAAAAAGGTATAATGCAGTCGGTTATATGCAATTTAGTATTATGCAAATCTAAATTATATACATTTGTCAAAATATCATCTATTTTAATTGACTGAAGTAATATTTTAATCTTCTGTACATTATATAGAAATCCCATATAAGGAAAATGGACTATTACCAGAGTCAAAATCTGGCTATTACTACAGCCCAGAGTTTGTGATTATACAGTAAAAATGATTTATGTATTACCATGCATAATGCTCAGCTACGGGCTGAGTCAGCACTTCCATTAGAAAGTTTCCAGGTTTTAAAGTTTTAAGAGGATTTAACTCACCGGCAAAACTTGGTGTTCAAATTTCTGCCTTGGAGTAAATTATTTTTATCTGAAGTCCAGAAATATCAGCTTTCCCATTTTTTAAATTCCAACAGCAATTTTTAAATTCAGTTCAGAAGCCAATTTTTTAAAAAACAAATACATATAAAACTGTGATTTTAGAAGTAATACACAGTGTTGTTGGAGCTGTGTTGGTCCCAGGGTATCAAAGAGACAAGGAGGTTTGTACAATATATTACCACCTTAGGCCCAACTCCACGGTGGTACTTAGGTGCCTAAATCTCAGTTTAGACACACCACTGAGATCCACAGAACTCCTGCCCAGCTGCTACCTAACACTTTAGTAGCCTCAACTCACTCGGCACCTAAGTTTTTAGGGTAAAAGTTTCCTAAGCACCTAGCTTTCTGCACACAGCCATCCCGACATAGAGTGGGGTAGCAATTTCCTGCCTAAGCTGTCCAAAGTCAAACTGTCCAGTGTGATCCATGAACTGGGAGAAGATAGGCAGAGGAGTGCCATGCCACCTTTGTGGCCTGATCTAGTGGCTTCTCAGCATGCCTACCGGATTGAGTCCCATTCAAAATCTGGCTAGAGCAGGAGGTTCTGGTGCTGCCCACCTCATAACTGTTAGCCCAGTGATTAGAGCAAGCACCTGGGATGTAGGAGACAAAAGTTTAATTCCCCCCTCGGTCTCCTGTGTCTCAGGAGGGTGCTCTAACCACTGAGCTAGGGAATAATCTGATGCGGGGCAGGGGGCTTCTTCAATCTCTCCTGAAGTTGTTCCACTTTGGATAAATACTATGGGGAGAGGGAGAGTGTCTATAGCCTGGTGGTTAAGGCATCCACCTGGGAGATGGAAGACCCAGGATCCAGTCCTCCTGTTCCAGTGACTAAGTATTTATCCACAGTGGAACAGCTTGAACAGGAGAGACTGAGGGAACTCCCACATCAGACCGCTCCGTGGTTAGAGCATTCTTCTGAGAGGTGGGACAACCCTGTTCAAATTCTTTCTACCCCTCTGGTGGGGGAGGGGGAGAAGGAACTTGGGTCTTCCACACCTCAGATGATTTCTCTAACCACTGGGTTATAAGGTGGGTGCCTCCTCCTCCTCTGACCATTTTGTGTGGCGCGAGGCAGGTCCCTATCTCATTCTCACCAGAAACATCTTAGGCACCAAAGCTGCTCAACTCCAGGAGAGGTGTTTCCAGGTATGGTTCGCAAGCAGAAATAGGGGCCTCCCTGCAGCCCTGATTTAGGTGCTTATCTCTGTGAGTGAGGTGGGGTTTAGGACATACACTCCTCGCTATCTTAGGCAGCTACTCACCTAGCATACTGACTTTTGGGGATCGCGTTCTTAGGTGCCCATCTCTCTCCTGGACATTGTATATAGAGCCTTGGTGCCCAACTCACGCTTTGTGGCTCACTTTGTTGTTCCAGTGATTTTCTAGGCACCTAATAGTTAGGCATTGTGATGCTCAGTGTTGCAATGCCTAGTCCCATTGTGGGTCTGAGCATTAGCAACTAGCTTTCTTTTATTAACAGGATTATTGACCGTACAAATTATTTTCTTACCTATGAAGTTAAGGAGAGAATGTCAGATATATATGAAAAGGGAAAACTTTCTGGCTGAGTCCAGACAATATAGGTTATAATGGCCTGATGTAAAGCCTACTGAAGTCAGTGGAAAGATTATTGGTTTTTAATGGGCTTTGGATCTGGTCTCTAGTTAAAAGTAAATACACATACTGATATACAAAAAAACCCAACAACAAATCACTGATATAACTTTCAATCAGTTCGTCCCACTTGCTCCATTATTCTCAAGTGATTCGGCTGCTAAACCTTATACTGGCAGTAATTCCATTTTTGTTCACTCTTTTGTTATTGTCTGTGGTGGGTATTTGTTTTTGCAAAACAGCCTTAGATATTACATTTTCAGGATAGGTACTATGTGTGTCTATGAGCTAGTGTCCAGAACTATTTCATAAAGATGTTTATTTATACACTTAAATGTATGCTGACCTGACAGAGGATCTGAAATAACTTCAGATTCATTCTAAGTGTGAATCCCTGACCCCATTGAAATCAATGGCAAAACTCCCAATGACTTCAAAGGGGCCATGACCCTAAATTTGTACAGCCTTTAAAACTCAGTTTTGGACAGAAATTTCTGCAATTTAAGTCTGATTCCTGCAAATGCAGATGGGTCTGAAAAATGAATTGGTGTAATATGGCTCTAAGCAGACAATTTCCTAAAACCTCTGTAGAATTTAAGTGCCCATTATATTAATATTTTGTTCCTTTGTTCTTTTAGTACAGGCTACATTAATATGTGGCTTTGCAAAACTATTAGGATGACAAATCTTGACCATCCCTCACTCCAATATGTATGTGCTAAAATAGGACCAAGCAATGCAAATTTTCCCATCTGGTGCATGCATTTGTATAATATTTGTTTTAAACAGTTGTCAGCTATCACAACATCACAAGCATTCAAAGAATCTTAAAAAATACAGAAGCATCTTGCCACTCAACCCAGTGTTTGATATTCAGCAGCATGCAGCTAACCTTTGTGTTTCCCCTTTTTCTCCTTTCTCGTGCTGCCAGTTTGACAGCTTGCAGCTGCTGCCTTGGTTTTTTTAGTCGATTTTGGAGCTTGAGCATCTGCTACCACCTTTACATCTTCCTGCTCGGCCTCCTGAACTGCTTGAGAGATTCAGGGCACGCACCAAAAAGAAAAAGAGAGAGAGAGAGAGAGGAAAACAAGAGAGAGAATGAAATGAGAACTCTGTGAAGCACAGAAAAGAATGCAAGTGCAGCAGAGTTTAAGGTTTGGCTGACATCTTTGTGCAGAGAGGAAATTAAACTAAACAAGCAATTGCAGAGCTACAATGGAATTTAAATTGGCAGATCTGTTAAGGCTGGGGTTTTTTTTTAACCTTGTTTCATCTCCTCCCATTCTTCCCCCTCCTACAATGTATTGGTTGCTATGCATTAGGCCCAAAATACCACCACAGATGCTACTATGTTGCTGAGCCGCTGTAAGCGGCACATTTCCCTGTAGTAAAGCTCTGTCAGTGCTGATCACTGATCAAGCCCCATGAGCCAGCTCAATAATATAAGATAATGATAGCTGGGTTTTCCCCCCCTCCCATAGTTCTCAGTGCCTTAAGTATACGGCTAACTCCTGCAAAAGCATCATCTGGAGTTTAACTTCAAAAAACTTACTTCTTATATTAAAATTCACAGCACAATCAACTTTGGCAAGAAAGGCCCTTTAATGTATAGACACTTAATATATCCATTTAAAGTTAAAAAAAAATTGCTCTGACTTTATAAGGGCTGCATATTAATTCATTCTATAGAAATCTCAATGGAACAAGCATTCATTGTGAAAGCCAGCATAATCATATGATTGCAGTGACTTTCAAAGTAATAAAGATTTTATATTTATTATACAGTGCTGCCAGAGGACTGTATTTACTTACACACACACACACACACACACACACACACCCCAGTTTATTCTTCTAGCTAGAATGAGCCTTTAAATGAAATAAAGTGATTTTTTTGTTAAAGTGGCTTTGTGATACTTTTCAGGTTTTGCACACTTATTTAAAGCAATTATCTTCATGAACTACATACAAAGAAATGGTCAAGCCCTTCAGCCCCCAAATATACCAACACTGAGCAGTACAATAAGAACTTTAGGGGCTAGATCTTTAACTTTTGTGAACTGTCATCAACCAGGACCAGCTCTAGGTTTTTTGCCACCCCAAGCAAAAAAAATTTGGCTGCCCTCGCCCCTTTTTTTTGGTTTTTACACGTTTGCACATTGCAATGTTTTGTTTTGTTTTTGACTGTTTAAAATTTTAAAAAAATGAAAATAGAGAATTTGTAGTTAGTGAAATAAAACAATTTCCTACTAGTGTACTCATTTACTCACTGGGCCGGCCATGGAGTGAGCTGGGCTTTGTCTGCCTAGGCAGAGCTAGGGCTGCCTCTGCGCCGGAGGCCTTGGCATAGGCAGGACGTCAGCGCCAACCCCAGGGCTCATGTGGTCCGTGTGGGTCGGACCAAGTCACGCTGCTGGCGGGCTACCCAGCCTGGCTGTCACTGCCGAACAGCCAGAGAGGCCTGGAGCTGTGTGGGAGACACCGAACAGCTCTGCCTCCTGTCTCTCCTTCCCCGCGAGCACGCCCGGGGGGGGGAGGGGGTTGGCGCTGCCCTCTGGAGCTGGGCGTTGCAGCCCCATGCCGGCAGGAGCAAGTAGCGGGCGTTGGGGGTGGGGGGGGCGGGAAGGGGGCTGCCCAGTCCCTCCAGCCAGGGCACAATCACCTCCGCTCCCCCTGAGCCAATCCCAGTCTGAAGTGGCTGTAGCAGCCCTGCCCACAGTCCCACGTCTTGCTATGCAGCGCAGGGAGGGGAGGAGGCTCTGAGAGTAGGGCTGCGGCCTGGCTCCCACACTGGCAGCGGACCCCGGGGAGCCTGGCTTGTGGCAGCCTCAGCAACACCCCAGAATCCCGGGCGGTCACCCCGCGGCGTGGCCAGGGACAGAGCCAGCCAGGCGGGGGGCACCACCTGTAGCTCTCACATGGAGCAAGCTGGGGTGGCTGTGGGGTTGGGCTGCCGGGGTCCAGGGCAGAGCAGCCAGCGGCTGGTGATCGCAGGGCAGCGTGCCCGGGCCTCCCGCTTCCCGGGACCCCTGCGAGCCGGCCGCAGGCTCGGCCTGCGCAGCGGCACGAGTTCGGCTCAGCCCAGGCTGCCGCTCCCCTCCCCTACCCAGGCAGGAGGTGGCACAGGGGGGAGGAGGAGGCAGAGGCGGAGACAAGCCAAGGAGGAGCCCGCAGCCGGCGCTGGAGGAGCAGCCCACCCGGCCGCCAGGTTCCGCTGCCACCCCCTGCGCTCCGTGACCAGGGCAGGGCCGCGCTACCGGCTCCTGCCTGAGGGGAGCTGGCCGCTGCCCGTGGGAGAGCGGCAGGGACACGCTCCCCACTGAGCCAGCTCCCTCTGCCCCGCTGCACAGCCCCGGCGGCACCCGGTCAGAGAACAACAGGACACTCAGGATCCAGCCCAGGACACTGCCTCAGATCGGAGCTGGGGCCCCAGCATTATGCTGCCCCTGATAATTTGCCACCCCAAGCACCTGCTTGTTTTGGTGGTGCCTAGAGCTGCCCCTGTCATCAACGGAGGTACGACCTAAGAATATAAAATGGCCATAGATTAGGCCAATGGTCCATTTAGCCCAGTATCATGTCTTCCAATAGTGGCCAATACCAGGTGCTTCAGAGGGAATGAACAGAACAGTAGGGTTGGCAGGCGTCCAGTTTTCAACTGGAACACCAGGTCGCAAAGGGACCCTGGCGACTCCAGTCAACACCACTGACCAGGCTGCTAAAAGTCTGTCAGTGGTGCAGCGGGGCTAAGGCAGGCTCCCTGCCCTGGCTCCGTGTAGCTCCCAGAAGCAGCCGATATGTCCCTGCGGCCTCTAGGCACAGGGGCAGCCAGGGAGGTTCCGTGCACTGCCCCCACCCCTAGTGCCGGCTCCGCAGCTCCCTTTGGCCAGGAAAAGTGGCCAATAGGAGTTGCGAGGCTGGTGCCTGGAGCCCACACTCCTCACCCCCACCCCCTGCCCCAGCCCTCAGATCCCTCCTGCACCCCAAACCCCTCATCCATGGCCCCACCCCAGATCCCACACCCCCAGCCAGAGTATACACCCCCTCGCACACCTCAACCTGCTGCCCCCGCCCTGAACCCCCTCCCACACTCTGAACCCCTCAGCCCCAGCCCAGAGACCCCTCCTGAACCACAAGCCACTCATTTCTGGCCCCACTCTGGGGGGGCCAGAATCTGCACCCCCAGCCGGAGCCCGCACCCCAACCCCCTGCCCCAGCCCAATGAAAGTGAGTGAGGGTGGGGGAGAGCGAGCAATGGAGGGGGGAGAATGTAGTGAATAGGGGCAGGGCCTCAGAGAAGGGGCGGGGCAAGGGGGTTCAGTTTTGTGTGATCAGAAAGTTGGCAATCCCAAGAACAGGTATTCATCAAGTGACCCATCCCTTTTTGCCCATTCCCAATTTCTGTCAAACAGAGGCTAGGGACACTTCAGAGACACTTTACATCTGCAGAGAATCTGACCCTAGAGCTGCACAGAATCCACCCCACAGGACATGGATCCCATACCACGCCACTTTTTTTTTTAAGGCGCAGATTGCCATTATTATGCACTCACGTGCACCAGAAACAAACAAAAAAATTCTTTCAGGATAAAAAGCTACATATGGCAAGGAATCTAGAGGAAAGAACTGGCTTGCTCACAAGATCATTTAAATATCATTGGCAAACCCCAAAAGCTCAGTAAACAGATAAGGCCCAATGATACTTGTGGCCCAGTAGTCTCTATCATAGAAGATGTAAACCAGTGGTTCTCAGCCTGATTGGCTTGCGGTCAATCAGCACATAGCTGCGGCCCATGTGGCATCCTCAGAGCCATACAGCTAGTATACATATTGTGTGGCTGCAGCCCACATAACACACAGAGAGATGCACAATGGTAAATAGGTTGAGAACCACTGAGGTAAACACTCTCCAAATTCACGAGTTATGGGACAAGTCCACTATGTACTAAATACTGGATTCCTAATACATAAGAACATATAAGAATATAAGAACATAAGAACGGCCGTACTGGGTCAGACCAAAGGTCCATCTAGCCCAGTATCCTGTCTACCGACAGTGGCCAATGCCAGGTGCCCCAGAGGGCGTGAACCTAACAGGTAATGATCAAATGATCTCTCTCTTGCCATCCATCTCCACACTCTGACAAACAGAGTCTAGGGACACCATTCCTTACCCATCTGACTAATAGCCATTAATGGACTTAACCTCCATGAATTTATCCAATTCTCTTTTAAACCCTGTTATAGTCCTAGCCTTCACAACTTCCTCAGGTAAGGAGTTCCACAAGTTGACTGTGCGCTGTGTGAAGAAGAATTCCTTTTATTTGTTTTAAACCTGCTGCCTATTAAAATTTCATTTGGTGACCCCTAGGTCTTGTATTATGGGATAAGTAAATAACTTTTCCTTATCTACTTTCTCCACATCACTCATGATTTTATATACTTCTATCATATCCCCCCTTGGTCTCCTCTTTTCCAAGCTGAAAAGTCCTAACCTCTTTAATCTCTCCTCATATGGGACCCATTCCAAACCCCTAATCATTTTAGTTGCCCTTCTCTGAACCTTTTCTAGTGCCAGTATATCTTTTTTGAGATGAGGAGACCACATCTGTACACAGTATTCAAGATGTGGGCGTACCATCGATTTATATAAGGGCAATAATATATTCTCTGTCTTATTCTCTATCTCCTTTTTAATGATTCCCAACATCCTGTTTGCTTTTTTGACCACCTATGCACACTGCGTGGACATCTTCAGAGAACTATCCACAATGATTCCAAGATCTTTTTCCTGATTTGTTGTAGCTAAATTAGCCCCCATCATATTGTATGTATAGTTGGGGTTATTTTTTCCAACGTGCATTACTTTACATTTATCCACATTAAATTTCATTTGCCATTTTGTTGCCCAATCACATAGTTTTGTGAGATCTTTTTGAAGTTCTTCACAGTCTGCTTTGGTCTTAACTATCTTGAGCAGTTTAGTATCATCTGCAAACTTTGCCACCTCACTTTTTACCCCTTTCT